GTTGCCGTGCATCTGACAGGTGATGCAATCATTTTTAAAGCTTCAATATCCATCATAACAATTTAAATTATTCAATTCACTAAATAATTTTTTCAGTATTCAATTCACAGTTTACTTTATCTAAAGGTCTCTTCCGGATTATCGACACCAAATTTTTTGTAAATACGCATATACATTCTTTGTCGCGTTCGCTAAATTCTTCTAAAACTCAATATTCAAATCAAATAATAAAGAAATTTCGCTTACCTGTCAGACACAGCATTGATTCTCTCTTTTTGTCATTTTATCAAATTTTTATTGACGATACAATAAATATATTTATTATAAAGAAGCACATATAAACTTAGTTCACAATTCGCACTTAATGTAATTTCTTGTTACATCACTCACAGTCATCAAAGTTCTGAACTACTCAAAGGAATTCAGGCGCACACAGTGCCATCTGGTTCAAATACAGTTTCTACAGATAATGTAGTCATTATATATTTTAGTATCATTTGAAAGGAATTTTTTTTGTGGCTCTGAAATTCTATTTAATATGAAAATTTATTAATTTCTACTGTGTAATATTAAACTGATATATCATTAAATTTTGTAAATATACAGTAACCAAAAAGTTTGTTTCATTTTATTCAGTACATATTTGGTTTACAGAATGGTCAAACAGTTCTTTATTCATTAAAGGTTTTGCTGTTGAACTTAACCTCATGTTCTCCAGTTATCCTTTTTTTCTTAAAAAGTTATCCTTCATAAAGTAATTTTTCTGTGTTCTCTTTTATCAGGTAAATTACTGTACAGTATGTATTAATTAATCTTCACTAGTAAAGGCTGTTCATAAAGTACATAGTTTTCCTTTGTTTAAGGGTATTTTGGTAGTTTGAGTTACAATATTGAATTTTTTTGGTAAACTGTTGTATTTTTAAGCAACCAATACGTACAAGTACTGTATTTTCTGAGGAAACACTTGTACTTACACATTTTAAAATCTTAACCCGATGTTTTCACAAATTCGGCCACCCTTTGGTCCTCATTAGACCGAGTTTTTGGGACTCTACTGTAAAACGAACCTGAATGACTGACACTGAGATCACTTTCTCAAAACTTTAATAATTAATTTCTGTAAGTGGTATATGCCAATAAGTTCTTTATTTTAATAAATAAATTTTCATTTAAGTGTATTTACTTTTACAAAAAATTTTAATAGAGACTGATAGAGCTCTATAGAAATTCCTATAGACCTTTATAAGTAGTCCTGTGAAAAAATGCTTCTCCATAAAATTCTTTAAATTTTATAAAACTCTCACTGAATTGAATTCTATAAAAATGTTGCTTTGCATAATTTTACAAAGCTTTTATAGAATAGTATTCAGAGCCGAAATAAATGCTTTTTATTCGTAAACATTGAATAATTTTGCTTTTTTCCTTTCTAGCTTGACACTTTTTAGCTTCTAAATTTATGTAACATTATGTTGTGCTATTTTTTGGTAAAGTACTGCTTATATAATGGAAAAAAAAAAAAAAAACTTGAAAAGCATAAAAATCAATTTAAATCATAAAATTAATTAAAAGGTTAACTATATGCTGTTATTTATGAAAATTTAACTCTCAAAATAAATGCTTTTAATTTATTTTATGTATGATCCTGATAAGAAAAAGGGTTTCTTAGTTTTAATTAAATATAACTGTTATTTAAATATTTTTTAACTCAAAATCATATTAAAATTTCTTATTGGGAAAAAATCGCATCTGTTCTGAAAAGTATTTATTCCAGTGTTCGTACGGTCCTTAAAAGTCCTTAATTTTTTCAAAAATGATTTTTGGTCCTTAAAAGTCCTTAATTTTGGTCAAAATGAATAAACGGTCCTTAATTTTGCTCATTTGACATTTCTTATCATTTCTACTGATTGCCATTCTAAGTGTGAATAGTGATTTCTCATGAATATGGAATTAAAATTACATGGCTCTTAACCAATCTGTTAGCGGATTTGCATCGCAAACGATTAAAAAAATAATAATAAATAAATAAATTAGTTGCCCGAACGAAAGTATCGGTGTCTGATTGGCTATTCACCCAATCTTTCGAAACAGGTGTTATCCATAAATTTAGGCAGATTGTGATGAAAGCGTGAAGCCGGAAGTTCTTTAAGAGGCGAAAGTGATGATGAAGGTGCTCAAGAAAAAAAAAGGGGGGATTCTGAAAATATTTCCCAAAATTAGAGCAATCCCAACCTGGAAGGCCACAACCTTCCGACGCCAATAGGAACAAGATGCCTGGAAAGTGCATTTTCAATAAACTGTGGCTTCATCAAGCTGACTACAAAGACTGGATATTGATGGATGGCAATCCTTATAAAGCTAAATGTCTTTGTTTGAAAGAAAAGCCTGGTCTTTGTCTGAAAGAAATTGAAATTTCTAGAATGGGAGAGTCAGCACTGAAAATTCACATGAAAATTAAGTTTCGTTTTATTATTTCAATTTGTTTTTACACAGTTTTGCTTAGCTTAATTTCTGTGTTTGTTTCAATTAAGCCATAAATTAATTTTTTATCACCTTCTACGGAGTTTACTCTCTTTTGCACATACTATATGTATGGGATATCGGGATCACGAGTTTATTTCTGTAGATGGTCTGTTATCGATTTCGCGGGAAATCTGTTGGCTCCATTTCGATTTTAGGTCGCCAAGGGCAAATTCGGTAACGGTAGCCGAGAAAAAGTGAAGTTCGGAAATACGTTTTGAAGCTTCACTAGACAATTAAGTATTTGGTTTAATCCTATGCTGTTGATAGTAATGCATTATTTTTGCTAATTGCGATACAATTATTAGTTGAAAACAACTAACTAATTAAAAAATTGTTAATATTTTTAAAGCTGAAAACAACTAAATAAAACTAATTTTCCTGAATTAACTAGACGCAAAATTAACTTTCATGAATTACTAAAGTTATTGGGTAGAAGTTTAACTGAAAATATACATTCCGTATTATATATATATATATTTATACAGTACAAAGTCCGAGGTCTGGACTCGTCGGGACTTTGGCGATCCCAGATTTGAGATCATTTTAAATCTACTAAGATGGCACGTAGAAATTATAAAATTGAAAATATGAAATCGTGATTTATGAAATAATGAAGCATTTATGATTTAAAGGGTATCAAAATTTACAAAGAAGTTAAGACAAATTTACATGAAATTTCTACTTTTGATCCTCAAAATCTTTCTCTTGACACATTTCTCATTTCTTATTTTCATGATTTTCACTATTCAAAAGTATGGAAAATAGTGAAATGATTCTTATCTTGTCACATGGACAGGCCTGTGTGGAAAGGGGCTTCTCTGTAAAAAGCAATTGAAATTGAAAATTTAAGTGACTCATCATACATTTTTCAACGCACAGTATTTGATTACATAAAATTTTCTGGAGGTGTTCTTAATATCAAAAATAATAAAGAAATGAGATCAGTAGCAGCTTCTGCAAGGTCTAAATATATGCAGTATTTAGAAGAACAAAAATCTTTAACTAAATCTGAAAATTCAAAGAGGAAAAGAAATATTATTGAGGAAGAAATTGATTATATGAGGCAGAAGAAAAAATTTCTTCAAAGGGACATTAAAGATATTAATGAAGAAGTAGATGCTTTAGCAGATGAAGCTGAGACCAGAAGGAACATTGATTTGTTTATCAAAGCAAATGAACTTAGAAGAATAGTTAAAGAAAAGGAAATAGACATAAATAAATTAGATGTTAAAATAGCTGAAAAGATTTCAGATTTTAAAAAAGCACAAATGTTTTGTATCTTTTATTGTACAGTTTATTATTCTAGTATCTTTCGAAAAACCAAGGAAATAAATTGTATGTTTACAAATCAGTTATTTTAATCTGCAAAATATTCTTACATTGTGATTATAATAGTAGTTGACTGTGTTTAAATAAATATCAAATAAGTTAAATAATAATCATGTAAATCTCTAAAATAGTGACTGTTATTAGTGTAAAATACACTTATACATGTTTTTCAAGAAATTATGTTCCTAATTTAATGTTATCTACTTCATAACTTGTAGGGAGTTAGTTTAATTTTCAAAATTGTTTTATGGTAAGTATTAAATTGAATTTAATAATAGTGCATAATACACACTTCTGTTAGTTTCTTAAAGTGAAATTACAAGCATGAAGTTGGTTGTATGGATAATTTCTTTATTCTATTCGTTTTTTTTGTTTGCTGATAGGTTCTTAATTTTTTCTTTGATGGTCCTTAAAAGTCCTTAATTTTCATGTAAGGAAATGTGTACGAACCCTGTATTCATCTTTTTCATGCCATATATGATTTCAAAATTTAAATTAAAAAATTTCTGTTCAGAAATAAAAATTTAATTCAAAGTAAGGAAACTTGTTTAAAGTTCTTTAGGATTGTGGTCCAATGTTCTGTGAACTAGATCTGATTTTTTTGAAGAATTCTGTTAGTTGATTGCATACGTACTGTATGCGAGACCTATGGAAATGGTACAAATTTTTGTAGAATCTATGCACAGATCTGTGTAGAATATCTGTACATATCGCTATAAAATCTCTGTACATAACTCTATAGAAGCTATATATCTAAAATTCTGCAGAATTTTATAGAAGATATATAACCTTGTTTAAGGAAAATTGGGCCATCCTTGCAAAAGAGTTAAACATTGAATTTTTTTAAATATAATTTTATAAAGCATTTTTGTTAGAGGAATTCCATATTCATTGGGTAGAATATGCATATTTGTGACATGATATTGACAAATCTATGAAAAGCATAAACTTTCTTTATTACTTGATAATTTATGGGTGAAACAAGTTATGTACTCAAATTAAAAATACATTCTTTATTGTTTATGAGTCTGTTTTATGTATAACCATTAAAACAATGTATAATATATGGTAAACTTCTGATATAATTATTGTTTTTGTTACAGTTTTATGTAACTAGTGTAAAAATAATTCATCATTATTTACAAAATTAGGTTGATAAATTTGAAACAGAAAAGAATGCTTTAACCCGAGATGTTGCAGATCTCACTACAAGGTTAGTTGAGGCCCGACTGTCTATAAATGACCTTGAAGAACAAAATGTAAGTTTAAACTGTTTAATCAAAATGGACCTTTTCCCTATTATCTGAAATTTTATGTTTGAATAAAAGACATTTTTTCTCTTTCTTTCATAGGATCAGTATAGAAATGATTGTAATATAGCTATACAACTTTTGCAGTGCAAGCCTTCAAATTTCATTTCTCAAAAGCTAAGTTCTGTAAGTCTCACAACTTAAAATTCTTAGTATTAAAAATACTTAGTAACCATAATCATCTTAGAAAAATACTTCATGCAGATAATATCTAAAAATGTTATTAGACTGTTAATCTCTGCATATAATAAAAAAAAAAAAAAAAAAAGAGTCTGTCCGTGTCTTTCGTTCGTGCTGCGCGTAAGCTAATAAATCTAGGGCTATGAAATTTGATACATAGGGTGCATCTAGAAAAGAGCCAGTGCACCTCAAAACGATTTTTTCAAAATTCGAAAGATTTTTTTTTTGATGAAATTGTATCAAATCAATATTATTATATTATTATTATTTAATTATTTTTATATTTTATTATCTCTCATTATATTAGCAACAATGGCACACAGCCATTGTTGCTGGTATATCACTGTTGCCATTCCGAAAAATGAGGGTGATAATTCTGTGTAGTTTTAAAATTTAATGTTTTTCTTGGATACTAGATGTTTGTCGAGAGGTACTTGGATACGGCATTTGTTGAGAGGACGTTTGTTTTCTGTTACATTTAAAAGCGAGATGAAGGCTGGTTGCATAGCAGCTAGTGTTTAAATATATGTCTAAACTATATGACTAAAAATATTTAAAATTCTGAAGAGCAACCTTTTTTTCCTGTTGTTGTTTTCAATTTTATTAAATAATTTATAATTACCACTTCTATACAATTAAATGAATGGAAATTCCATCTTTCAAAGCCAAAAAGAATGCATTCTGCACCTTTTAGATTATAATTGTTTCACATACATATTTTTCCCCTTTAATTTCTGTTTTCAATATATGCTAATAACTGTTTAAACTAATTTGAATTATTAATTTTTAATGGAATAGACAAACATATAATAAACATTTACACGCAATGAACTGAAAATTGATCTGTCAGTACTATCCTTATCTACAGGGCAGATGTTTTTATTTTATTCAGCTTGTAATTCCTTACTAAATGTAGTATTTCATCTCGAAGTACTCTGTCTTTGATATGATTTAAATCAAATTCCTCGTCATTATAAATATCACGAATACACATCAAATAGTTTTCTGGTTACAATTTTCTAATTTCCACTATGCGTAATGTATGCTTTATGCATGCACGCGTTGAAAGAAATGTTGGCACTGTTCGGTTTCGAGGGCCATAAAAAATCGCCAAACTATTGTTGATGCCAGTGCTGCCAAAAGTAATTGCGGCAACCCTAACACATGAAAGGAAGTATAATAGTAAATAACTATGTAAATATTGATGTTTTAATTTAGATGAAAGGTTAATTTCATATAATATTTTGCTACCGAGTTATCACTAAAGCATAATGTCATCATGTTGGTTGTTCAAACATAATTTTCTATAATGAATGATGCATTTTCTTTGAAACGTTTTCGTTAAAGTGCAGAATCGCCAGTTTATTTCTTTGCCGCTTTTTACAAGGGTAAAAACAATTGGAATTTTGTCAATTTTCTTTTACTTTTTAAGTGGCAATAGGTCGATGTGTACATAGATAAAGTCAAGGGTGTGCGCAGTGCCATTTTTGTGCAATTCTGGGATTTTTTTTTTTAAGTGAAAATATGTCAATGTGTACATGGATACCAAGTATGTGCAATTTTTAAAAATGCGTCAAGCAGTGGGTGATTCTGCATTTTACCAAAAATTCTATCGCAGACTTTTCATCATAGGCAATTCCCAAATTGTTAAATCTATAGGATATCAAAAAAGAATTTAAAATTAAACTAGTATTTCAATGGCGTCTTAAGAAATATAGGAACTATATAAACTTATGCAATCTGAAATCAACGCATACGCGAGATTTGGCACGCTGTTAAAATGGGCGTGTTTGCTAGATTTGGCGCTTTCGCGCATACATTTTCGCTGCAATTTTTTTACGGCCCTCGAAACCGAATAGTACCGAAAGGTTTAATAAAGTAAAGAAATAAATATTAAGCTTTTTTTTGTAAATTTTGATACCCTTTATATCATAATTGCTCTTTATTTCATAAATTACGGTTTCATATTTTTAATTTTATAATTTCTGCATGCCATCTTACCAGATTTAAACTGATGATCCATAATCCGGAATCGCCGAAGTCCCGACAAGTCGAGATTAAAGACTTTTGACTGTAGTAATTTTTATCTATGATGTGGGGGTATATTCAGTGCTAATGATATATCTTTAATTTTAAAATCTAAAGATCAATAAGAAAAATGGGCTTTTATATGCTAAAGGTGATTATATTTTATATGTTAAAAAGTAACTAGGCAATTATTTTCCTGTAATTATGAAAGTTACAACTGTTGTAAAGGTTTTTTTGTTGTTGTTGTTTGGTCATTTATCATTATTAGTCAGTTTTAATGCTAAATGTATTTACTAATTTTGGTACTTCCTCATTATTACGGATTTCGTATTTTAAACACCAAGCTGGCACCAAAATTGTTACCAAGTTCATGTTTGCTTCTCACATGCATTTTGTAGATGCCATGTTTCCACGATTGCTTTTAGTAAGCATTGTAAGCATTTTCTTACCCTAAGGACTTTCACCACTTCATTGCCCGAGGATGCACTGTCTCATGACTATGATGACATAGTATGCCTTCATTGATTTTTTACTCAGCTACATAGTGAAGCACCAGAGTCTTTCAGTGTATTACAACAGTCCACAATTTTTTCAGGCCCTTCTATCTGCTCATTTGGTTGTTGGATCAGATGTAAAGAATGCACTTCTATCAAAACTATTCCACAGTTATATAAAGGCTGAATTGTTTCACACATGCTTCCCCCCCCCATTTAGTTGATGTCAATTTCTCTCCTCAACAGTAATTAAATCACTGCATTGTTACAAACTGTATAGTGAAATCGAGGTAATTAACAAAGCATATGCTTTTCCTTCACTTGCAACTTCTCCAAATACTTTTATCGATATCTAATTTTATTAAATATCCATTTTTGCATATACAAATATGAGATAAAATGCATCTTTCTTGTCAGAAAGACACTGCAGCTCAAAAAAATATTAACATAAGGTGAGAGATGTATGTGATGAGAGAATTGTGATCATGAATGGTTAACATTTATGTGGAAAAAAAAAAAAGAAAATACAACATTTAAGGTTTTAAACTAATTAACCAGTTATTATCTTTACCATAAATTCTTCATTCTGTAATCTTCAGCAAAATGCAAATTAGTTAATGTGTACTGAGGGCTCGAATGCTTAGCGTAGAACTTCTGGCAGCCTCATCTTACTGTTACTTACTCTCGCCAGTTCTGCCTAAGTGTCTTCCAAATTTAGCATCTTGCTAGACACATTGTTAACTCTCTTGAGCCAGCTTAAGTAGTCTATTTTATGTATACGGCCGAGCGGTAAAGTCGCTGAACACTGGTAGTTCGGTCCGAGGTTCGAATCCCGCGAACGGGCTGGCTGCATGGGCGTTTTCGTGGTTTTCCCCATGTGTAACGTGTATACGAGCCAGTTTCCGTTAGAAAGTCCTCCACGAAGGTATCCCTCCTCTTAGGCAGATAGCCCTCGAGGCTTTGCCAAAATCACACACACACGCGCTATTTTATGTATAGCGTATGACTCTATTACCTACATTGAAGTTTTACTTTCTATTATATTAATTTAAATACCACAAGTAACGGAGGTTCGTCTGTTTCACAATCACTGCCTTTATATTCATTTAAGAATTAAATAAAAAGGTTATTTTAAACTTCTCAAGACTTGATCATTTGTAATACACTAAAGCAAATAACTCGTTTGTTTTGCAATCTAGGCCCACCAGCAGCCAAGCAGTAAAGACGTTAAACACTGGTAGTTCGGTCCGAGGTTCAAATTCCACGAATTGGCTGGCTGCATGGGCGTTTTCGTGGTTTTCCCTATGTGTAATGTGTATACGAGCCAGGTTCCCTTAGAAAGTCCTCCACGATGGCATCCCTCCCTTTAGGCAGATAGCTTTCATGTGCTTTGCCATAATTAAGTAATCCAAATCCATTTGCAGTCTAGTAGGGTTTGCAGGACATTGACACAAGCTTCTAGATACAATGAATCCTACAAACACATGGTTTATTCATTATTCATTGCTCTTGTCATTAGCAAATAAGAAATGATTGTCCTTAGGACTTCATGGAGTTTGTGGATGGTTTGTGTTGGTGATATATTGATAATATTGGAGTCCCTCCAAAATGAGCTGAAAATATCATCAAGAGCATATATCATTAATCAGTATATATAAATGATAATTTTGTAACGTATTGAAAGCGAAATATGAAATCATATATAAATTACTTTGTCATTTATCATATATAAATTACTTTGTCTTTTAGGGCAAATTTTTGTATCTGATTTATTAGTGTTTCACATAACCTACTTTCAGATTAATTAAATCTGGATTATTATTTTCAGTTTCCTTCAGATCTCCAAGATAAAGTGAAACTTCACTTTAATCATCGCCCTCAGAGGGACCTGCATAACAGTCGCAGCAGTCCTGAGCTGCGCACAATTAGAGTTCCTATCCCTACTTTTCCTCCTACTGCAATGGTTTACTCTGTGAATAATGTTCCTCGTGCCTTAGATAACGAAGCAGATGACAGTCAAAACCTTCCAGACTATGTATCTGCTGCCATAATGGCTAAAGTTCTTGAAGAAAGAACTAAAGAACGTTTGGATAGGCAAGATCATTGTAAGGTTTGTTGGTACAGAAGACATTCAATGGACCATAAAGACAAAGCAACGCAAACATACTGGCCTCCTACTAATTTGGACACACAAAATACCAACCACATTGCACAAGTGCACTTGTTGCGAGATCGAAGCGAATCCTCATCTAGCATAGATTCTTATTGTTCGCGAATTAGAAATGGGTCGGCAACCAGTACAGAAACTGCAATTTAATATGAATGTAAAAAATAATTTAATGTATAGGTGCTGTAGTATATAAATAGACCATATAATATGAAATGTATAAAATTTATATCACAAGCTAACTGATATGGAAGACGCTGTCAAAAACGAAAGAGGATAACAGAATTACACTGGATATATGTATATTTATAGCTGCGTCTTCTAATACCTAACTAAATAGAATTTCAGTTGCTTTTGATGTTTAAAATGTGCCAGTTTATGTTGATACTTATCATGATAATCATTATACTCATACAATATACTTATGTTTCTACTTTTAAATTCTCTTAATGAATCAGCACAATTGTGTTCTTATTAAATGTTGCTGTACATAAATATGAAATGAAGCTAGAAGAAATAAGGATTTATATTAATGGCAGCTACAAAATGATTTTAATTTTTACTGTGTTAAAATGTATGTCTAATATTATAAATGAAATAGCTTATTATTAGCAGTGATAGTCATATCTTACCAGAGATATATTTAGATAAAATAATTAAAGTATGGATGATATAATGTTAGTTTGATTCATTGATATAGTGATTTATCCCTTATGCCAGGGGTCTTAAAGTCACGGCCAATTTTATATGACCCACCAGTAATGATGTATCTGTTGCAAACATTGTGCTTATAATTTTAGAAACATAAAGCTATGCACTGAACTTAGGTATGCGACTGCTGTTAAAGGAAATGCAATAGAATGAATAAAGTGGGGCTTTGTCACTGTATACAGATGCACCAGGTCATGTGACTAAAGTAAAGTGAGAGTTTCCCTTGTTGGTACAATCAGTAAATTTAGTTTGTCAGCCAGCAGTTGGTGGTGCTTCAGTATTATGAAATTTCTGGTGTAGGTTAAAAGTAAATTATTTAGTAGTTAATTCAAGATATTAGAATTACTGAAATAAATATCAGTCTAAAATTTAATGTTTTGTGGTTATTTGAATTTCTAAGCATAACCAAAAGAAATGTCTTGCAGCACCGTGTTGTTATTTTTCATCTGCGTTTGGATGAATATTCAGTAAGTAAAATTAAAAATTTAGTTTGCTTCTTTTTTTTCCCTTTGTTGTTAAAAAAAAACTGTTCTAGCCTGTTCGCTTCAGATTATACATTTAACCTGCATACAGTTAGAGTTTGGGGCCTCTGCTCTAGGCTACTTTCTAAAAATATTGGGATGGAGTTCTCACATACTTTGCCTTAATTAAGCAATATTATGCACTTAAGTTGTCTGTGTGCAATAGTTTATTATGTTAGAACTTACTATTTAAAATACAGGGTGTTCAAAATTATTGTAATATACACTAATTAACTGTATTTGTGCAGGAATACATATCTAGAAAATGCCAGCACAAATGAGTTAGAATTAGGAAGGAAGGGGGAGTAATGAACAATAAAGAAGACATAAGAACATGGTTGCTAGTTATGTAGTAATATTAACATACTGTTTTGAATGAATTACCTTTTTTGATATTTTCTGGTCAATGTATTTTGATAAATCTGTATCTGTTTTGATAAATGACACATTGTTTTAAATGTGCTAAAGCTATCCATAATTTAATGAAAGCTGTAAATGTGCTTTTACTGTGGAATAGTAACTATTATTTATAACCTGTAATTGTATACTATATGCTAGGTATGTGGAGTTGGGTTGTTTGGTTAGTAATGATGTCTGTTAAATTCACAGGCTTATAAAAATTTGTGAGGCAGTTAAGTGTCTGTATCTAAGACAGCATTTTTACAAGATAAGCAAAACTCACCATGATTTTTCAAAAACAAGGCCCCCTTCCCCAAATTTTCAAGAAGTTTATAAGAAGGGCAACTCCTCAAGAAGAGGGCCTGTGACTGATAGCTATTGAAGTTGATTGCTTGATCAGAATCCACACTAAACATTTTGTTTTAAATTGAAAGAATAATTTTTGTTATGTAGTCAAAAAGAAATCTAGGTCAAGTTTTAGGACAATGAAAATTTTAAATATTCATACAAATTTGTGTCACTGGATGTGAGAAATTTATGGGAAGGTATTCTTTTAATATGCATTAGATGTCTTTTGGAATTTCAAGTGTAATTTTTATCTCATTTTAGCACATTAAGAATAAGTAGTTTAAAATAATCTCTTTAAATTTGTACATCTTAATTAAAGCTATAATTTAAAACTTTTAATAGTGTGAAATAATTATTTGTTTAGTATCTTTTTTTAACCTTTGTTTTATTTCTGATACAAATATATATATGTATTTATGCGTGTATGTATGTTACCGTGAAAGACCGAAATTGAAGAATGTCAACATTCACCAAATACCTTGATGAAAGATCAAGTGTTGCATTACATTCTTGTACATTCGGACCCTCACCGGTGTATGTCGACAATCACAGGTATGCTCTGGTGTAGGTCGAAAAGAGAGGAGTATATGTATGTACATGCTGTCATTGAAAAAGGAAGTGTTCCACAAATAAATGCAGTTGTAAATAAAGGCCTCTTGTGCAATTCAAAGTGTCATAATAGTTTAAGTTGTTGCAATAAATAAGATTTGAATCACATAATTTAGTAAGTTTTTAACTTCTATTATTTTCCTTTCTCATTTTGAATGTACCGTGGGTTTTAAATTCTTATTTTAAGTCTCAAGTGTGTTTTTTCGCAACTGAATTATGGAGAGGAAAATATAATATTCTTATACTATGTTCAACATTCACCATTAGTACATGGTGAATGTCGACATTTACCGGTGTAAGTCAGAAATAAGAGTATTTGAAAAATATTTCGGACATACACCAAGCAACTATGTGAATAATATTGACAATCACCGGTAAAAGTCGACATTCTCCAGATTTTGGTGTTTCACTGTAACATGTATATAAAGAAAGAAAGTTTGAAACCTAGTAAAAGTCGCTAAAAACATTTGTAGTTTCCTATCAAATTTCCTGAAACACTATGTAATTTTTGTAAACAGTATGTAAATTTTGAAATATTTAAAAAAACTTATCCAAACTACAGAAAAATTGAAAAACTTGCAAAAAAAATTGTTTTGTTAATCTTCTCTGTTCAAAGCTACAGAACTTGTCAGGGGAAAAGTGCTTGAAGCCTTCAACCAAGTAGATTAACTAAGATCATGCAAACATGTTGCACCTGACAAATCCATTGAGACTTCAAGCGGTATTAATTGAACTCAAATTTCCTTGCAAATTTAAACTAGCAGGGTTCGTACACATTTCTGCACACAGAAATTAAGTACTTTTAAGGACCATTAATGAAAAAAATTAAGGACCTATGAGCAAATGGGAACTGAATAAATTCAATTAAAAATACTATTCTATGCCTGAATTTCACTTTTGTAATACCATCCTAAAAATAAAATAGATCCCTGAGTAGTATGCATTATTACTAAACATGAATTAATTAACATAATGATTAATAAGTTTGAGAATAAAATAAACTTTATACAATTTATCAAGTAGGATTAAATATTTTACACTTATAATAGTTGGACATATTTGAAAGATGACGACATTTACTTACGTTTTACTAATAGTTAGCTTTATGCTGATTTTTTTATGTCTCATTTTGTTACATACTTGGTCAGTCTAGAGGTTTAGTAAATAGCAGGTAGATTTTATGTTAAACGGTATAGGTTAAAATGAGAAGTAAGATCATATTCAGCATGATTCATAACAAAAGACTGAATGTTGTCACCGCTGTTGCTTGTCTAGAGAGAGACCTGCTCATTAGAACAAACCTGAAAGGTCTGATGTAGACACAGTTGGCAAGTGTTGAAACTTAGTCAGGCTCTGTTTGATGCAGTTAGTGTCATAGCTTTGTGTAGAGTTCCAAGGGATTGTAGCCCAGTTAATATACTTTAATGTTCCAATAAGCGATTAAAGTACCAGAGATGATAAGTTGTTTTGTATTATTTTTAAGTTTCACTAGATGCAAAGAATAAGTTTTACTTGAATTTTAAAATTTTTGTGTTTTATCTTGTGACCACAGTAAGTGTTAATGAAAGGCAATAACTCACTTTAATATGTAGAAATAACTTTTAAGGGTAAACAGTCAGTTATAAATAATTAAAGTAGGTAATTAGATAACCTTAGTCATTATGGATTTACATGGCCACTATTAAATTTTATTTTTTAACAATATTTGTTAAAAAAAGCCTATTAAAATCAACATCTAATAAAATTTCACAGTTTAAAATACATGTAATTTATGACATTGATTCTTAAACGATATTAGGATACACATTAAAAGCTACAAAACATTTATGTTTTGTAACAACACTCAACAAAATATTTATCCTTCATTTTAATTTGAAGCCTTTCCAAACATTTTAGCTAGTTTATGTTGATTTCCTTCTCTTTAATCATCTTTTCTAACAATTAGAGAGTTGTCTCAATATGCAAATCAATGCTCTTGCTAGTTTCTGCTTGCTTATCTCCTAACTTGTCAACATCTCCACAAGGTACCTATGAGGGTTTACTTGATCTGGTAAAACTTAAATAGTCCCAAACCCCCGACTGAATCATAAACCAAAAGGCTGAAATTATAAACAATTGGCTAAGTTACATTATAATAACTGCACATATCTTTGAGGAGTAATTTTCTTTATGTATTCAGTTTCTTTCTTCAACACGGTTCCTTTTCCTTTTAGAATCTAATTATTTATGTTATTCTAAAAGACACTAAATGCATTTAGAATGTATAGAAAAAGTGGCTAATTCGATTTGTTTAGTAATATGAACATTCAGAAGAAATATGAAATATATATGGTAAAGCCCGGTTACAAAGCTGGTGTGGCAGAATTTTTAGAATTTAGTGACACACCGAACAACAAAATCTAGAAATAGCAAAACGTTTAGAATTTAGGATCCACAGAGATTGCATCAGGTGGGAAAATGCCTAGTGCCATCTCTGGGTATGATGCATTGAGGCATATTAGATGAATCTTTTAAATTGTAAGTTTTCAATTTCTTTATTAATAAAAAAATCCCTTTCTATAATGCCTGCCCAGTGATAAGATTAGAAGCATTTTTGATATTTTTGATGCTTGTTTCTAGTGAAAGGTAGTGAAAATAAAGTGAAGATAAACATGTTAAGAAAAGGATTTTAGTATCAGGAGTAAAACATTTAAATATTATGTTTTCATTGTTCTTCCAGATGTTCTCCAATGGTTAGAAATTCATCGCAAACTTTCTGTAAAATATGTGTACATTACGTGTCGATATCATGGAGACATTTTTCATTTTGTCACATATTTCTCGAATCTTCTAGAATCGTGGGTCTATAAATCTTGACTTCAAACCCTTCTAAACTTTCCAAGCTGCAATGTCTAAAATACTAAAGCAAAATTATCCCTACCAATTCTGTAACAGCAAAAAGTCAGAAATATTTTTAAAAAAAGAAGGAGGGAAAAAGTGTAAAATTAATTTTTTAGAGAAAACTGATGCATATTCTGAGAATTTTGAATATTCCGAGACAATTGCATGGGACGCTTACTATGAAAAAAATTAAAAAGAAGATATTTTTAATTAATTGCATAGCTAATTTTGCTCTTGCTAAGAGCTGTTTCGTAAATTATGCTTTATAGCAATATGCCTTATTTATCAGATTCATAATATTGTATAAGCTGCCAAAATGAAGCTTTATAATGTGACAGTGAAAAATAGAATGTTTATTTTAATGTTATTTTTTATACATAATTTCAATATATTACCATTATTTTAATGAAATTTATCAATGTTATGATGCTTTAAAAAAACTGGTTGAAAAATGTCAGATCTCGGAAGTAAAAATTTTATATAGAAGCTGATCCTAAAATTGCCAAAATGTTGACAAGTCGCCAAATTTAGAGCTGTTTAATAAAAGAATTCTCATCCCCAAAAGCGAAAAGTTGTTTAAGAGTTCTTTATTAGAAAAAAGGAATTTCGAAATGCTTATGTTTCACTTCTTGCTTAGAAACTCGAGTATCCCATCATTTTTATTAGAAATAGAAACAAATTATTACCCATGAACCCATTCAAAAGATAACCATATATGTCAGTGAATTGCCAAAAATATTCCTCCAAAATGCTAATTCACACTCACAATGGCAGTCATAAAAACAAACAGAAATTTCATATGATTAAAATTAAGGACCTTCTGCTGATTTTGGCCAAAATTAAGACTTTTAAGGACCAAAAATCAATTCTAAAAAATTTAAGGACTCTTAAGGACCGTACGAACCCTCACTAGCAAAAGTCTCACTAGATTTGTCCCTTTGCCCAACATGTTTGCATGTCCTAAAGCATTCAAAGATAAAAAAATATACAAAGTACTACAGTAATACCTAAAAATCAAACATAATTAAAAGTAAATTAAAAAACAAGGTGGCCTAGTAAGGCTAATGAACAAATAAAAGCAAAAGAATTAAAATATTCAATCAATTTTCAGATATGAAAATTAAACTTGAAAAGTCCTTTGTAAAAATAGAATTAAGTTGGGCCGGTTGCGTAGAATTAAAACATATTTCTAAGGAAAAAAAAAAAAAAAAAACTTGCAAAATAAAGACCTGCTTATATAAAAAGGAGGAGTTTTTTGCTCAAAATGTAAAAAGGTGTAGAAATAAAGTAAAATGAGAAAACATACCTTGTGGTCGACTCTGGCTATAATTAAACTGTGCAAAATTCGCACGAGAAAAGGTTGCCAAAATTCGAAAGAATGTTAAAGAGGGGCTACCAGCAATTTCAAATTTCAACCTATTGCAGGACTTCCCAAAACAAGAAGCAAGTCTTCGTAATCTTGTCGCTAGCCAATGCTTCCAGAAAAAAACGGTGGAAAAATAGGGGTCATAGTCGGGCAACTAGTTTAAGATGGTGTCATTTTTAAGATGTTAGTTCTCTTAGCAAACTAAATAAAACAAAATGACAAAATTTCAAAGTATTAGCTCAAACTGACCAAAAGTCAGATGAAATGGGAAAAATGAAAATAATTGTTAGTAAAAGTTCTCATATTTCACGCAATTGGGCTTCTGAGCATCTTAGGGAAATATGAAAGAGGCCCTTTAAATTATTAACAGGAAGAGTTGGTCAGTAAATCATAACTTTATTTAGTAAAAATACTCTGAAAGCCAAATCTAAAGAGTCTTTAGCTAAAGAGTCTTTATCTAAAGCCTCTTTAGCATTTTCTAGTCATCTACTAGATATGTCCCATAAATAATACTATGATTTACTGACAACTCTTCCAGTTAATAATTTAAAGGGCCTCTTTCAAATTTTCTTAAGACGCTCAGAAGCCCGATTGCGTGAAATATGACAACTTTTACTAACAATTATTTCCATTTATTGGGTAAAAAATTTCATGTCACTAAAAACAAGTAATTTAAAAAATCGGGTAAATGCCAGCTTTTTTTAATGAATGTATAATTACTTTTTTGGAAATATGATTTTCCTGCAGGATGTTATTAAAGTACTGAATTTCTCCTTGGAAAAGGTCAGTGTTATTACAGATCCTTCTTATTCTAAGAAGTTGGGAATTAATTGTATTTATAATGACTGTTTTTGAAATGTTAGAAATCCAATTAGTGAGTTTAAGAGTGAGAAACTTGAACTGTCTGTGCTTATCATAAATTTTTAAAATTTTGTAATTTCAAATATGAAGATCAAAGTAGACTGTCATTTTGTTGTGGGTTAGTAGCATTAAGTTTAAAGCTAGTAGGATAAATATTGGCATATTTGATTTTCTAAAGATTATTAAAAGCTATAATGTCATCAATAAACATCAAAAACATGCTTAAAATATTTTCATTGTTCTAGATGTAGTGACTATATATTTGGTTCAGTATTATATGTTCATTCATTTCAAGAAAGGGATAGAATAATATTCATAGTGTTGTCATTTTAATAGATATTAAATCTAATTAAAAAAACTGTAATGTTTAAAATTATTTACAAAACATTTGAAAAATTAGATAGTCATTTATAGTATTACATATCTTGTTGGTTGATAATTTTGTTTCTGAATACCCATTAAAATTCTTTAAAATATGTATGTTTTCTGAGAGAAATTAACAAGTGTAACTACAGATCTTATATTTTTGATTTTGTGAAGTATAACAATTAGTAATTAAATCAATATTTTAAGCTAATTGAATATTTAAATTAAAACGTGTTGTAGGTTTTTATATCATCCTCTTGTGGTACCATTCAAATGTAAAACTTTTAGGAGAATAGAAAAGAACTAATCCAGTTAGACTAAAAGAGTGCATGTTAATTAATTAGTTCAGTATTGTTTTATCTACAGATCTTTTGCTTTAAAGAGTGATTTTATGTTGTTACTTTTATCAAAGGCAAATAAAATTAATGATCCATTTTAAAACAAATGTAGTAAGTTTTAATTTTAGTTTTAATAATAAATCTTAAAGAAAAAATTTATTCCTTTTACCAACAACTGAATTTAGCTCTTTACGAAGTAGCTGCTCATGTACCTCATGGATGTAGCTAATGGATGCTACAAAGTTGCTGCTCATATATATATAGAGAGAGAGCGTTGGTTTGGATGTATGAAAAATAGCATGTTACTGTTTCCATTGCTTGTTTATATGTATATTTTTTCAAGTACAAACGAAAACATGTAAATATAAATGCTCTTAAATATTCTAGTGAAATTCTGTTTTTATATTATTCATGTTTCCATTTTTGATGGATAACAGAGCTTTGATACTTTATTATGTAACCAAATGTCTAGAATAGTGGTCTAAAACTCAAAATTTTAGTTTGGTCGAATGCACCATTTGAAAGCGTCTGATTGGTCGAAATTATTTTTAAACAAATCTTTAAATTTAATTTGTTAAATATTTAGCAAAACATATATAAACAGTAATAATAATAATGCAAAGAAAAAAAAATTAATTTATATTTACTTTCTGTCTGAAATCTATAGTTAGATATCAGCAAGAAATTTTGGTTGGTTACACTTCATAATTCAAACTTCTTGACTTCTAAATATTGAATTTCAGACTGACATATATTTCAGATAATTATATTGAATTAACCACTAAATAACTTATTTAAAGTAAACAAATTGGGAAAATATTCCAAACTTAATGACAGCCTATTCTCATTTCTTAATTTCCTAAATTTTTATTTGGTGCATATAGAAAACACACATATGTAAATTATGATGAGCTTCTTTATTTTGTACTATAATTTTTGGCAACAACATTTCATTACGTTTCATTTTGATAAGTTTGTAATTCTGTAAACAAGTTACTAGAAACTACCTTCATTATGAATTATAGATGTTTATCGATCAATGTGGTTCTTTTAATTTTCAGCCATGAACAAAAACTGTTGACATATAAATGTATGCCAAAATAAAGCAGTTATTCAAAAATTCAAAGTATAGGGTGTTGATCTTTTGAAAAGTACAACAAAAAATTTAATCAAATCTGTATCTTCAAATGTCTGCCTTAAGATTTATTTCACTGTCTAAATTAATTAGCTCCATTTATATATGTGCTGGAACATTACTCACATTTGTTTCTGATGGTAATGAAACTAATGTAAAACTGAACATGAAATCATTAAAATCTTGAAACTTTTCTTTCAGATTCTTGTCATTATAATTAATATTAAAATAATGCTATTTAATTTATGGGAAACATATTTGTGGTTCAAGTAAAATTGCTTTGGGTGCTATCAGTTTGAGACCACTGGTGTATTTTTTTTTTTTTTTTTTTAATTTTAATGTTAAACTTATTTTTCGATGCATATTTAAAAATCTGTTTTCCTACTTATCTAGTTCACTGTAGAATGTCTTCATTCTGTTTGTAATGTGGCATTTTCTGATATACCAAAGCATGACTTATAAGCTGTTGGCATTCCCCAGCTATTTCATTACACCTCCAGACAGATCTGGAATCTGCCATTTTTGAATTTTTAGCCTTAACTAAAGAAACTGTTTTTCAACAATAAATAGAATTTATTGAATTACTGGAACTTCAGCTGTAAAAATTATGTTCCCTCACCCCTAACAGTTTTCAGTGTAATATTTTATTAAATTTTATCTGAATTGTCTTAATCTACTATAGAATTTTTAAAACTTTTTTATGAAGATTCGAACAATGTCTAATCAGTTACTATTTATATTTAACTTTTTTTGTTATTATGCTAGATTTAATTTTTTGTTAATTTGGTAATTATTAAGTTTATCTACACAACTGTATGGACGGTGGCGGACCGAAAAACTGTGAAAAAGTGGAAAAATTTGCAAATAATGTGTTTCACATGCATGTTCTATATAAAAATCATATTGTTATAATAAAATAAAGTTGTATGATGAATCTTAATCAAATTTTATTAGGATTCATTACTTATTTACACTTAATTACTCAGAAAAGTAAAAAATGCAGTATTTAACAAAATGCTGAGCAAAGTAATATTGTAGCAAGTAGTAATAATAAAGCACAAATTCTGTAGTCAACATAAATTCTACATAATTGCAGTCATATCACATATACTTAGATGTGTATAAACACTTGAGGATCACTTCACCATTTAGTAAATCCTCCAGGAGCTGCAGTGAGTGCTTTGCAGTGGTCAAGCATTAAAGATATCAAATTCTGAATGTAAGCTGGCCTTCAAACCCTAATAACGCTTTCCTGCAGCTTAATCGTAGTAGCAGGCTTTTTAGCAATTTTGATACCTATCAGATGCCAATAGTTTTCAATGAAAATCAGGTCAGAACTGTTTTCAGGCCAGTCCAAAACTTTAAAACCAGATTTTGTCAGATTGACCTGAACCTAAACAGGGAAAATGCGAGGAAAATTATTTTTGTAATTCAATATGTTGTGTAGATAAAAGCTTGCAAATGAAGCAACAAGATCATGCATAAATACGTTGGATTGTACTTACCGAGATATCTTTATGACAGGGTGCAGACTTGGATGAAAAATTCCATTTTCAGCACCTTTAAAACGATCCCAAATAACTGGTTTTAAACATTTCTCCAAGATATAGGTACAAAAATGCATATACAGTTCCAGGAATATTAAATTTAGGCATTCATCCCCTCTGCTGGTTATGCATGCTCAGACTATTTGGCTCTCTGAGAATTTTAGGGTAGATAAATAAGTTTCACTTTTACACTGTAAAGTGAAACTTATACACACATACAGCTTACTGTATGTGTGTAAAAGTGAATCTCTGAACATACAGCTTATTATCCAGTAAATGTAGGTTGAATGCTGACTACATTCTGCAAGGCGTCTTTAGACAGTTTGTGAACTTAAATTACATGTTTCTGAAATTCAACATTTAAATCAGAAGCACTTGTATGACAGTTATTTCGTTTTAGGTATTGATCATTAGAATTTGTGGTCACCCTCTTCTGGCCTTTCTCACCATCTCTAGTTTTGTGCTCCATTTTAATGGCTTTCAAGATTGCAACCAATCTTTTTAGCAATCATAAGTGTTGAATATAAAGCCACTGCCACACATTTTTGCGTTGCATCAACTGAACATACAGAGCCATCCTTTCATTGCTTAAAGACAGAGGTGAGACCATTTTTCTCTTTTGTTGCGCTATTTATAGAAATTCAGTGACACAATACTTTGTAAGAGCTGTATGATGCAATATGAATGTGGAATGGTCTTGTATCTTACTTTGCAGCAACTAAAATAATGTGTTGGCAATACAAAATGTTTATTTTTCCAGGTGATGCAGTTTTTTTGGGGAGGGGGAGTCCGCCACTGTACATTAATTATATTTTTATTGCATTTGAAAGTACGTTGATAAATAAACACTTCCCTTGACTAAAGATTTTTGTTTGTATAAAAGAAAATTAATGAAGTTAGCCCAAAACCATAAAATTTATAATATCTAATAAAAAAATAATGTATTTTACATCAGAATCATATTATAAATAGTTAAATACCCTAAATCATGCATTATAAAGTGAATTTAAAAATCTGCGTTCATGTGAAATGGCATCACTGCACAGTGTAAAAAAACTCCCGAAAAGGCCAGTTTTTCTTTGCATTTCAAGGTTGGCAGTTGTGCTTATAATCATATTTGATGCATTGCTCATATTGAGGTCACTTATATTGTTTGTGAAAAATATACTTTTCTGTGAAAAATAAAACAGGCAAATCGAAAACCTTGGCAACTCTCGGCGTAGATTTTGTAAAATTGCAATTGATTTCAAGGGCAGAACGGGTCCCCCTTCATCAGGAGAAAAACAATTCTGCAAAAGTGAATGTCGAGCATATTTATACTCTACAGGCGACCAGTGGAAGAGCCGATAGCACCATCTGTCAGCAGAAATAATAACGAAAAATTAAGGATTATGTTAGTAGAATTACAAAATCTACGCTGAATACAAGGTTGTTGATTTGCTTGCTTTATTTTCCACGTTGGCGTGTTTCTCGTAAGTCTTGATACATTTCTGTGCTCTGTAATTCAATATTTCCTTAAATTTTTTATGCAGTGCCTAGAACTTTTTTGATGTATCGTAATGTTAAAGTACAACAGTACAATTAGTCTGCTGTACTGAACAATTAGAACAATTAATTTTGCTTGTGTAAATATATGAAAATTTAAATTAAGAAGAGGTGCATTTATGACTCTCATTAGAGAAAACAGAAGTGTGATATTCAATTTAAATTATAAATTGGCATGAAATACATTTCAAATAATTTCATAAAAGGAAGTATTCCTTTCTTTACCCTCGTCTGTAGCTGGTATTTTATCTTCACACATTATACAGTCAAAAGTCTTTAATCCGGACTCGTCTGAACTTCAGCGATTCTGGATTATCGATTTTTCCGGATTATAGATCATTAGTTTAAATCTGGTAAGATGGCATGCAGAAATTATAAAATTAAAAATATGAAACCATAATTTATGAAATAAAGAGCAATTATAATCTAAAGAGTATCAAAATTTACAAAAAAAAAAGCTTAATATTTATTTGTTTACTTTATTAAACATTTCTTTCAACATGCGCATGCGTAAAGCATACACGAAATTAGAAAATTGCAACCAGAAAACTATTTGATGTGTATTCGTGATATTTATAATGACGAGGAATTTGTTTTAAATCATATCAAAGATGGAGTACATCGAGATGAAATACTACATTTAGTAAGGAATTAAAAGCTGAATAAAATAAAAACATCTGCCCTGTAGATAAGGATAGTGCTGAAAGATCAACTTCCAGTTCACTGTGCGCCGCGACGTTCCCCCCCCCCCCACCAGAGCAGCGTGAAATTGATACACAAATTTCGGAATGGTTAGAGAAACAAAGGATATGCTTTTATCCATTTTTTGCAGCAATTCCACTTTTTGTTTGATGGACATCAAAACATGCTTTCGCTTTGTAGATCCTTTGGCAGCTCCAGAATCGGAAATTCTTTTTGACATAATCAAAAGTTCACGCTTACTTTTATAAAATTGCTCTAACATCTGCAAAAAATAATAAGTCGGATCCAATTAGAAGATTAAGGAACAACGCAATCTGCAACATCACCTGAAATAGATAATTAGATAATTTTAGCTTAGCTTAAACCGTCCGTTATACATTAAACGCGCATGCGTAAAGGTATTATGCGCATGCGTAAATGCATTATGCGTTTAGGCATGCGCAGAAAGTTTGTAGCTTTGAGGTCCAGATTAAAGACTTTTGACTGTATTTAAGCATTGGTATTATTAGTTTGCCCTTTTTGTTTCAAATTAGTATGGGAATGTGCTTAACTATCAAAACATATTTTTATTTTTTAAACTGAGAATCTTATCATTCTTTTAGAAACTTTCATAAAAAGAATAATAAAGATTAAATCATCTTATATGTTCAGAAAATAAGTTTTCTGCCAGCTAATCAGTGAAAATATTGATGTATTATCTCGTGCTATTTACTTTATTAGTATAAAGTGAACGATAATTGCGAAACAGAGGTATGAACAAACCTGCAACTGTTAAAAACTTAATTTGATTTTGATTGCTAGGCATAAATGCTTTATGCGTTTAGGCATGCGCAGAAAGTTTGTAGCTTTGAGGTCCGGATTAAAGACTTTTGACTGTATTTAAGCATTGGTATTATTAGTTTGCCCTTTTTGTTTCAAATTAGTATGGGAATGTGCTTAACTATCAAAACATATTTTTATTTTTTAAACTGAGAATCTTATCATTTTTTTAGAAACTTTCATAAAAAGAATAATAAAGATTAAATCATCTTATATGTTCAGAAAATAAGTTTTCTGCCAGCTAATCAGTGAAAATATTGATGTATTATCTCGTGCTATTTACTTTATTAGTATAAAGTGAACGATAATTGCGAAGCAGAGGTATGAACAAACCTGCAACTGTTAAAAACTTAATTTGATTTTGATTGCTAGGTTATTAAAAGATGATAGAGCTCACAAGGTTTTTTTGCATAAGGGAATGAGGGACTTCATGAGAGAAAATATCTTATATTCACATTATACGTGGGAAAAACCAACCATGCATCAAGCCTTGTTGTCTAGGTTCAAATCCAGGACGTGCTTCCAGTGTCCAGCAGTCGGATCTATTTGGTCACCGGTAGAGCGATTTGATTTTTGGCTTTTAATAATAATGATTTATAGCTACAAACTCAAGTAAATTTGCAAATAATTTCTGTTCCTAGTATCCCACCCTCTTGAGTTTATATTGCGATGTATAAGAAACTGAACTACAAATCATTTGGAGATCTCTAAATATAGAGTGAAGTTGGTTATGTACACTTCTTATACTTTTTGTTTAGTCAGTTTAAAAAAAAAAAAGTACAGTGAAACCATCTTAAGATGCAATTTATAGTTCCCTTATAGAACATAACTGTGCATTGTGTTGTTGCAATATTGTTGCTTAATGATATTCTCAAAACATTTTCTTGCATATTCTGCCCGAAATTTTTCATAAATTACGTTTAATTGTCATTTCAAAAGTAATTACTTTTGAAAACAGAAATATTTGTATATTTTATTTATCTGAAACTTAAATTAACTTTTTTGTTAAATATGAAGAATTTAGCAATTTGAAAAAGCCAAATGAAAAAAACATCTGTTGTTAAGCGAGAGAGAAAATATGCTTTCGCCCTTTCAATATTTGTTTTCCTGAGCTACTTCTGTGTTCCCCAATATGATATTGAAATTACATTAAAATATCTCTCATTTAATGTAAGGACAACTAACAAACAGCATATTGAAAATGGGAGTTTAACAATAATGTGTGTGTATACACTTTTTTAGTATTAAACACTAAGAGACACAGAAAGAGTATTAAAACACCTTTTTAATTTCTATCAGTGGAGGGTTCTAGGAGAATGTGTAAAATCATTCAAAAGCAACTAATTAAATACCTAACATTTTTCAAAAATTCTCATTGTTGTAATATATTATCATTCGGCAGAATTTTAGTTTTGGTCTGTTACAACTCAGAAATTTTACACCTTTAAAACCATAATAGTTTGCAAATTGCAGTAAATTTTTTGCCAATATAAAATGTACAAATACTTATAATGCCTTAAAAAGATTAAATTATAAGTATTGTATGAAAGTGTAAATATGCTGTCTAAAGGCCCGTTTCCACTGCTGCGTATGCATTTCGGTGTCTATGCTTTTCTCCAATCAGCGAGCGAATTCACTTTGATTGACATCTGCAATCCAGTCAATGTGCCATGATGCACAGACGGAGTTCAGCAATGTTCAACTTCTATTCGTATGCATTGGGGTTACGTGGTAAAAAAGGAGCAATCAGGTGTTGTGACCAAAAATTAATAACGGCAAAAGTAGCGATGAACGCGCGCTTAGGGAAAGAATCTTTTGATAACAAAATACTTATTTCTGAATTAACATTATAGCGAGAAATCTGCGTGCTGAAAAAGACAGCAGTCAGCTGACTTTAATTAAAAAAAGATAAGAAAAATAAGATAACTGCAACTACAGTACTTGTTCGCAGATAAAATCAGGCACAAAAATTATAATTCCAAGTCCATGAAATAGCAAAATTTGTCCTGACATTTATTTCCTAGTTCTGCCCACACATTTACCTTTAATGAAAATGAACGTCTGACTATATCAAACTGCTATATAAAATCAGATATGGCATTAAAAGATTTGTTATTTTTTCTTTTGAAACAGGTAAAAACTAAAAACGTTAATTATAAATTAAATTTGATAGCCTTTTTAAATTTTCTACTGCATTAAAGAGTATGTTAAATTTGTATTTCTCTATTTATAAATATACCTTTTTGGCTAACATATATTTGTAAGCACATGGAATATATTTTTAGCAGCCTGTTTAACTTCAATCGCAACGCCATTTTAAAAGATAATGTTTTTTTGTAAGACGTGTACTAGAAGCTGAAGAACAAACTCTGGTGAGTTTTTTAGACAATAGCACACTGAAATAGGACCAAAAAATTTAGTTTTAAGAATTCATTTACTTGATTGATGTATATAAGCTAAAATATGCATACCTTTCCCGTGTGATGCTAGCTTAGTGGTAAAGCTGATGGTAACAAGGTTTAACTTTTGGGGTCGTGAGTTCGAATCCTAAACTTTCTTAGCTTCTTGTTCCAATTTGATGTATATTCGTGTATTATAATTTATTTCTGTTTGTATTATAATTTATTTCTGTTATTATATGCATTAAATATAATGTTTTATTTATGCTCTTATTTAAATTTTCCCTGCAAAATTTTACAAGAATGCATAAGTAAATAATTGGATAAATAAATTTTTTGAATTATATATTTATTCATGGATTTTGATACTTACGCTTGATTTACATACCCTCTCAGAATTTAAATGATATTGTAGATTATTTCAAATTAATCATTTATTTGTTTGCATTAAATTTCATTTAAATTTAATTAACTTTAAATTTGTTTTTTACGAATAGAGAATGTTTGTTAAATTCAAATTTCATTCCTTGCAGCAATAGCGCAAGAAATTGTTTAATTTAATTTAACTTTACTATTATCTTTGAACCATGTACATATATATTTTTCGTTTCACTTTTAGGAATGTACATACATGTGTTCAGACTGGGATGTTTACGGCTCAAACTTTTCATTACTAATTAACATAGACAGTATAATGCCCTAAATATTTTTTTAACAAAATTACTATAATAATTTTTAATTCAGTACTCTCCAGCAGAAGCGCAGGAATTTAATTAAATATTCCATTTTCTTACCTAATGTGTTTATATAAAGAGAAAAGCTTATTTTATAACTTTTATAAAAGAGATATGAATTAAAAAATTTTTTAATAAAATATATTTTTGATTATGCATAAAATATAACTGCCCATAGTGCATTTTAAAAAAACAAACGAGATTTCTAATAAATATCCGCTATGACCCTGAAGTCAGCAGTATGCAAGCTAACAATTTTGTGTAAATATTGTGAACCTTCTTTACCGTTGCTCGTATTTTAAAGTACCAACTATTCTTAATTCATTTAATTTTTATTTTATTATTTCTTTATTTTTTTAGTAACAAGTTTTAATAATATATATTATTTCATTAATATTTAAGGCTTCTAGAAACGCAAAGAAATTTTAAAATTTACTTATTTATTAGCTTCTATGCAATTAGTAATGTTCATAATATGCATTACAACCTTACTTATCAAAAAATTGCTAGCATATTTCACTTTTTCATTTCATAAGCAGAAATAAAATTTCAATAAATTAGAATTAGTAACAAATTTTCTGCGTTTTACGTCAGGATCCATATCAAATCCAAAACAAACAATACTCGCTTAAACGCGAAAAATTCAGATGTTTAGCGTCGTAACTCGCAAACTGTTAGTTTCGCACCAAAATATTACAGTGACACCTAGCGGCGAA